GTCACACTTGGAACTCCAGGGGATGATTTCTTACATGGGATGCTGTTCCCGCTCCATGGGCACCAACAGAGAGGTAGACCTGGGCAAGCCACCCTTCCACTTGACTGCCCTGTTAGCTCCACAGCACGACCCCATGTGTGCACGACCTTCCTCGGCACAGGGTGGCGTAGGACTTACTGTGCAGGAGGGGAGGCAGCGATCATGGTTCGAAAGAGGACTAAGCCACACTGATTGTGCAGTTCAGGACATGAAACCCCTTGGCCACCTACAAGCAACATGGCGTGGCTGGTTGGTGGAGTTACACTCGAGCGTTCCGGGGACTCCGCCCTGTGGCCTTCTTTCCCCATGAACGAAGTCACCCCAGAGAGAAGGGCTGGAGCAGCAGGACCCAGCATGTGTTGCAGTAACCTCAGTCTAGGGCATGAGCGTGGCTGGGAGTTAGTGTGGTCGTCTGGCATCACAGGAGGCCAGTTTGAGATGGCCACCTATTTATAGGGATTTTTTTTTTTTTTTTTTTTTGAGACAGACAGAGTCTGACTCTTTTTGCCCGGGCTAGAGTGCCGTGGCGCTAGCCTGGCTCACAGCAACCTCAAACTCCTGGGCTCAAGCAATCCTACTGCCTCAGCCTCCTGGGTAGCCGGGACTACAGGCACGCACCACTGTGCCCAGCTAATTTTTTCTATTTTTAGTTGTTTGGCCAATTTCTTTCCATTTATAGTAGAGACGGGGTCTCGCTCTCACTTGAACTCCTGAGCTCAAGCGATCCTCCTGCCTTAGCCTCCCAGAGGGCTGGGATTACAGGCGTGAGCCACCGCACCTGGCCTATAGGGATTTTTACGAGTGTCTGAAATAAGTCGCTTTGTCCCAATTTTTTTCTAGATCAAGAGATGGATGCAGAGGTATATAATGACTTGTCACAGACATGCCAACTCCGGGGCAGGGCTGGTTTGGACCACACCACAGCTTGAGACTCCCCACCCGCTCGCTGTCGTTGGTGTGGGACCTCACAACGCCATCAGCCCTGCTGTGGGTAGGGGCTGCGTCTCACTTAGTCTTATCTCTGTCAAAGCACCCGTGTGTATTATACTTGATGCCAATGAATGAATGAAGTTATGTGTAAGCTAAATTTTAGAAAAATGACGACCTCATGTTAATATTAGAAGATATTTGGTTGTACAGCTTAAATGAGGTATACTTACTGTAATTGTTAAGATAGGTTGCTACAGGTGTTGTACTTACAACCACCACCTCCTGCGAGGCAAGCCCTCTTCTGGGTACCAAGAACACCGAGGTGTGTAAGATGAGGCCGTGTCCTCAGAGTTCACCGTCTAGTTGGGGAGAGAGACATGTATCGATTACCGTGCAGCGGGAGGAATTTAGTGCAAGTGTGCACAGTAACCACCAGACCAACCTGGTGAGGACAGTCACCAAGTCCCTGTGAAAAAACCCTTAGAGGCGTCATAAAGGAGTGTGAGCAAGAGGCGTGGACCAAGTCCCCTCCAGGTGGAGAGAAGGTGTGGAAGGCCTGAGGTGTGGGGTGGCTGCAGGGCGGACGGGAAGCTCAGCTTGACCAGGGCTGAGCGAATGGGCCGGGAGTGGCAGGAGGTGACACTGGGAGAGGCAGGTAGGCAGGAAGTCACAAAGGGCCCTGGATTATTCCTAGGGCTCAGTAAGAGTCCCACAACCTGGGCAGCGTCAGACAGCAGACCCGCATCGTCTCATAGTTCCAGACGCTGGAAGTCTGGAATCAAGGTTTCAGCGGGACCGCGGGCCCTCTCCCAGCTCCAAGGGAGGAGCCGTCCCTTCCTCGTGTAGCTTCTGGTGGCTCTCAGCAGTGCTCGGTGCTCCCCGGCTGGTAGATGCCTCACTCTGGCCTCTGCCCCCATTGTCACATGTCAGTGTATGTCTGCGTGTCCAGATTTCCCCTTTGTATAAGGACACTGTGGCATTGGATTAGGACTTTTAGGATTTACCCTAATGCCCTCATCTTAACTCCATCTGCAAAGACTCTATCTCCAAATCAGGTCATATTCACAGGTACCGGGGTTAGAACTTCAACTTATCTTTTGGGGGACAAAATTCAGCCCATTAAGAGCCTTGAATGCCAAGGAAGCCTCAGCTATATCTACAGAGGCAGAAGGTTCCAGGCAAAGGAGGGGCAGGATGGCTGTGTCCCTGGAGAGAGACGGAAGTGGGACGGGAAGGACAAGAGCCTGCCCCCAGGTAGGGGTCTGGCAGCTGCTGGCCTCCCCCCAGGGGCACTGCACACTCTCCCCACCCTCTCCCGCAGGGTCCCCACACCCAAGGCCAGGTCTCAAACACACATGCACAGGCCTGCCTTCTGGAAAATTTAAGCAGAGTGAAATTCAGGAGACAAATACGGAAACATTTATACAATTAAGGAATCCTGCTGAGTTTTCAGGGACTTGGTCGTTGGTTTACGTGCAGTTGTTTTGCCCCTAACTTTGTATCATGAAATGTTCAAACCTAAGTAGAGGGACGGAGACCCCCACGTCCAGGCCCGCATGGCCTTGTCCTAACTCTGGTCCCTATGCTCCCACTTCTGCCCAGCTGCGTAGGCAAGTTGTGGCCTAAAACCAGCTTTGCCCCTTGTGGACTCTGTCCCTTTGGCCGGTTGCACGAAGTCCCCGAGCCAAGTTTTTCATTTCTAAGACGGGTGACGCCCGGCAGCAACAGAGCAGCAGACGCGGCTTTGTGCCGCCTGCCAGGGACGTCCTCTGGGAGCATCGCCTCGCGGTAGTTCCATGAACTTAAAAACATGTTGACAAAAAGTGCAGATCTGGTGCTTTCTAAGGCAGCCTCTGGTAGGAAACAGCTGAGGAACCGAGAGAAAGTAAAACGACAATAAACAGCAGGTTGAACAAAAGCCACGGGGGCCAGCGCTTCTCAAACTCGCCTGGGCGCTGGGACCCCCCCCAGGGTCTTGTCCCCAGGCGGGTCGGGGTTGTGGGGCCCAACAGGCCCCTGTTTCCGTGTGTCTCCCGAGCTGAGACCAGCTCTGATGGTTTTTAAATGGTTAGAAAAATCAAAAGGATCATCTTCGTGACACACCAAAATCGTACGACTTTCAGATGTCGGTGTCCACGGAGTTTCCTGGGCACACGCGTGCCGGCTCTTCCGCATCCGGGCTGCGCTCCCGCCCCCGCAGCCGGGCAGTGTGGCGACTGTCCCCAGAGCCGGGGAGCGCGGCCCGCCCAGGCGCCGGCGGCCGGCAGGGGCGGCAGAGAGCCGGCCGAGCGGAGGCGTCCCCGCGGCTGGGGCGTGGGTGCCCCGGGGACTGGAGGGGCGGGCGGGACAGTCTTCCAGGGCCTCGCGGGTCGGCAGGGCCGAGAGCAGCACCGCGGTCTTGCTGGCGTGGAGACGGCAGGGCCTGCGGGCAGGAGGGTGGCCCGGGGACGCCACGGGGGCCTGGATTGCGGGGCAGGGCGCCCCTGTAGGGCTTCAGGCGGCAGACATAGCATCGGATTCGGGAAGAGGGATGTGGCTCTGGCGGCGGTGCCTCAGGGGGCGCTGTTGCAACCACCCGGGGCAAGCTGATGGCTGTGGGGCTCACCGCTGCGGGTGGGGGCCGGGGAGTCCTGAGAAATAGCACCCCTGCCCCAGCGTGCTCAGCAGTCACTGTCTCCCGGGGTTTTGTGTTTTCGCCCCAGGACTGGCTGGATAAAGGGTGTCGCTGTCTTCTTTCTTTCTCTTTCCCTTTCTTGCCTAGCCTTCACACACACGGGTGCAGCTAGGGTGTCTGTTTGCTTCCCACCTGATGTTTTCTTTCAGGCGGCTGCAGCAGCTGTCAGCTTTCCTCCATCACGAGCTGGTTCGACTAGTTGAGCGTTCAGCCTGTGGGCGAGGCCTTTCTGTACTTTTTGTTCTGCCTTAGAGAAGTATTTCTTAATGGGGGAGGGGAGGGCTCACAGGCTCTTTAGAATCCCGTGAACACCGTGTGGACTCCAGAAAATGCACACGGGCAGGCGGACTCAGAACTGCACATAGCTTGCAGGGGTTCCCAGCTCCCCAGGGACAGCTGGATTAAGGATCCCTGCCCCGGGGGCTGCCTCCCTGCTTTAAGGTTTGGGGTTTAACATCAGGTGCTGTTTGCTCTCCCAAAGACCTCCCTGCCCACCTGATTTTCTTACTATCCCTGGGACTTATGGACCTGTTGCTAATACATAAGTCTTTGGAATGGATTAAAATCTTACGAACACTTAAGACAGGAGCTAGACTGACCTCCCAGGGTGGTAGGTGTGGTGATCGGGGCTGTGTGTGGGTTCTGGGGACCTCCCTGAGCGAAAGAAACCTGCTTCCAGCCCCCAGCCGGGCTTGGGCTGACTTCTTCCCATGCATTTGTCCAGGAGACACTGTGTCCACAGAACTGTGGACATGCTGAGTTATATTTTGGGAGTCTTAATACATCATAAAAACCACCTTCCTTGAAACAAAAAGAGTACTATATCAGATGCAGTCTTATTTAGCAAATTATTAGCCTCTGTAACTAGAAATAAGTAGATTATAGTTTTTAAAAGATTAATTTAATCTTCATCACAAGGCAACTTTAGAGGAATACATTCATTCAGTTATGAAATGTTTCCAAAGGACAAATGGAAGCTTGAACTATTTTTCAAATTATCCAGATTTAGAAAGTCTAAGTCAATATCAACTTTTAATAAAAGCAGTCATTCCCAACAATTATAGTGTCGTATTTTGTGCATGTGTGTGTGTTAACTACAGCTTTAGTGGAGTATAAATTCTATAAACAAAATACTCATCTGTTTTAAGTGTGCAATCCAGTGATTTTTAGTAAATTTACAAAGTTGTACAGCCATCACCAGTCTAATATTAGAGCATTTGTGTCGCCCCCAAAATAATGTCTCACTTTTTAATCATAAGCAATACTAGAAAAATAATCTTAATTCATTCCTTTCTGTATTTGCATTATCTAAGTTATATTCTCACTAATAAACGACCTCTACCGATATCTCTTCCAGGCAAGCAGGAGACGGCTGGGGCCAAGCTCCTGCAATCTTATCAGAAGCTGAGGTGAGCGTTACAAAGGACAGACCGTCCTGGGCCCGTGGGGCAGGAGCAGAGGACGCTCTGCAAGAACTTATAGATCTCTTGACTTTCAGAGGTCACTGCTTTGGAATGTAACTCTTTAAAAAAAAAAAAATCATAAAGTGCCTGGAAAAGATTCAAACTGAGATGTTTCCAGATTCTTATGGAAAGCCTTCTAGCTAGCATAGTATTTGCTCACTAAATATTCTGTTTTGTTTCTTAAATCCTCCTGAAATGTCATAAGGAAACTAAATATTATCTTTAATTGCACATTGAATGAAACACTAAAGCAAGCATTTGCTTGATCTAATCATTCACGTCTCTAGCACCTTACCCAGCGCCTGGTACCTTAGAGATATTTGTGGAATAAACATTGGTGGGATTGAATAATGGCCTGAGAGATGTTAACTTCTTTGCACAAAATTCTAAAACCCTAGCAGTTTTTAGCTGGCCGTAACTCCCACGCCTGAGTTCACTGAATAATTTATTAGAGTATTACTAAAAGCTTCCCCACCACCTGCTGGGTTTTTTTGGCCCATGATGAGATTTTCCAGTTGCGGGACGTTTTCATTTTTTCCTCCTCTATTTCTTACCACTTCTTTGAGCGCAAACTTCCAGTTCCGCTCCTGGTTGATTTTCACCTGCACGACATTTTTGGCACTTTTGCTGGTGCGCCGGGAGCACACGCGTGGGGCCGGGGGTGCCCTAGCAGCCAAGGGGCAAAGCCGGGTCCTGAGCGCCCCGCTATTCAGAGCACACAGGTTGAGGGAGGGCCCAGACTTCACACAGCATGACCCTCGTGCCCCACGTTTACATGTCAGGGAATAATGCTCCCCCCAACCCCTTGCAGAGGAGGGGTCCAAGTAGGGCTGCTGGGTCTTTTTCTAAAAAGTAAGGCAGTTAAAAAAAAAAAAGAAAGCCGAGGACTTGAATTATAGAATGATGACATGTCCTGTCTGTGTTGTAAAATCAGTAACTTGAAGAGTTCATAACCTGTTTCTTATTCTTGTATTTTTTCTTGGCAGCAAAATTTCTGTGGTTCCTCCTACGCCACCACCCCTCAGCGAGAGCCAGTGTGGCCGCAGCCCTTGCAGGGTAAGTGTCTGTTCTGGAGGCTTCCCTAAAAGGGGGCTCGGGAGGTGGGCCGGGAACCTCACGGCAAAGGGATTTGACTTTGACTGGAACAGGTCACAGAGCAAGACAGGGAATAAGGCCCCACGTGAGGTCAGCCAGGGCTCCTGCTGGAGTTCGGTGGCCCTGGGACCATCTGGGCTGTCCTCTGCCTGCCCCCAAGGCCTCATCTTCCCTCTTGGCATGTCCTTGGCCCCCTCGCCCACCTCTGCACTGCACCTGTGAGCATGTGGAGGGTCTCTAGGGGTCTCAGGGGAAATCGGTTGACTGACAGGCGTGTGAGCGTGGGGGCGCCCGTGGACAGTGAGCGGATCTTTCGCATGTTTGCAAGCTCTAATGTAGAGTGGACCAGCGCCATTTCTGTCCCAAGAAATTAGCCATGGGGGAGCTGTCTGGGTTTCCTTCCTGAGAGGTGGAAATAATTTTACAGATGCTCCTCGACTTAGGATGGGGTTATGTCCTGATAAACCCATCATAAGTTGAAAATATCATAAGTTGAAAATGCATTTGATACACCTAACCTACGGAACATCATAGCTTGGCCCAGCCTACCTTAAATGTGCTCAGAACACTTACATTAGCCTACAGGTGAGAAAAATCATCTAACGCAAGGTAATATTTTATAATAATAATAATAATTATAAAAAATAAAACTTCAAAATTCGAAGTATAGTTTCTACTGAGTGTGTATTGCTTTCACACCATCGCAAAGCCAAAAAGTCGTAAGCTGTGACCGTCTTTGTTCGTCTGGCTTGTCCCCGATGACCATGTGAGATATTAACAAAATAACCTCTAAGCTAGCACTTGGAGACTGTACGGTGCCATAGGAAGCTACGATCTTGATTCTCTTCACTGTTACTGGATAAATTCCTGGAGCAATTATATCCATATATGGGAGCTGATCATAATCCCAAAAGACACAATCCCGAATGCCATAATCCTGAAAGACCAAAATCCCAAAAATATAATTCTGGAAAAAATAATAAAAACTCTTTGAAAGATAATTTATTTACATTTTAAAAGGGCAGGTGTTTGAGAAACATGGAAACAGAACACTTCACAGGCCACTTTCTACAATAAAATAGGCAAGAATAACGTATTTTGGGGGAGAGAAGGAGGCAAAATAATTGAAAACAAATATATATATTTTTCCAAGCATAAACACTCAGGTATACTAATGACAGTCATGTGGGTATCACACTTATGAGCACATGAACCATATTCATGAAGAAATAGGTCAAAAAGGGAAATGTCTACATGTACATCACTACGGTTGGCGATCGTGTGCACCCGGCTTTATAACGGTGGTCGTCTGAAACACTGTGATCAACCATCTAAGTCTTTGACAAGAGTGATCAAAAACCACCACGGGTCACCACTGCACATGCGGTTGCCCAAAGAACTGAGACATCTAGAAATTTTATCTTTCACAAATGCAGATGTACAGAAAAGGAGATCTCTTCATTTATTGAGGAAGTTTTTACATTTTTACTGTGTATACACACAATGCGTATACACACAGTCAGCGTTGTGGTGATGTACTTTGGTGGAGTCAAATTTGCAAAAAGGGCATGAAATGAATTAGAGCCCTCCAAAAGTCTCTACACATTTATGCCTCCAGTACTGGAAATGATGCAAAGATGAAATATATAGCCATACATGCCTGTTTAAACCATACTTAATTTCTAAATAAAGACAACAAGGTTCCTCCTAACAGGTGTAGCTATCCTATGATTGGAATTTTGGGGATTTTAGATGTTAGGGATTTTAGACTTTGGGGATTTTAGACTTTAGGAATTTAGAGTTTAGGGATTTTGATCTTTCAGGATTTCAACATTTGGGATTATGGCTTTTGAGATTGTCTTTCAGGGTCCTGGCCCAAACCTGAGAATATACACTGTCTGATGATAAGAGAGAGAAAATACATACATTCTTTTTCAATGTCAAACTTAGACTCCAGGGTGACCTTCAAAACCCTGCTCTACTTTCTCCTTGAGATTTTAAATTCTCCAGAGTCATTCTAGCACCTGCGTGCTCCAGACATATTCATTGGCTGGATGGATGGTTGGATGGATGGTTGGTGGATGAGTAGGTGGGAGGATGGTTGGATGGGTGGGTAGATGGATGAGATTTGGAGAGGGAAGTGACCTCCTTTCTGTTGTTCTCCCTTTTTCTTCTCTCTTCGGCTTTGGGAGGCAGAACTCCTTGGCTCCAGACTGGTCACCTTGTGCCTTGTCCTCCTTGGCCCCCTTATCACGTGCATTCTGCCCATGTTGGCATCCCTTCTGCGTGGAAGTGGGGTGGGGCCAGAAGAGAAAGGAAGTTAAACAAGCAGTCATTTGCTTGAGTACAATCTTTGAGCCAGTGACATGCCAGTCATTGTTTCTAAGAGACAGTTGTCATCTTGTCAACAACCCACTGATGACGCTCCTTCCTTTCATATGAATGTCAGCATATGGAGGAGGGACTCTGGGTAAAGAGGGTGCCTGTCTCTTGAGGGGACTGTGCTCTCCTCACCTCCAGACACGCATGCACACACCCACACCGCATGCACTTTGAGCACCCACGCCCACGTGGACCCCACATGCGCTCACGCCCACATATATCTGCCAGTGTTTTGGGGTTGCTGCCTGGAGACTGCTCAGGCAACACAGATCATCAAGTGTAACTCTCATCCTCTCTTCTCTGTCTCTGTTTTAGTTACAGGAACTTGGTCAGTTTAAAGGATTTAATAAGTCCGTGGAAAATTTGTTTCTCTCTGTTACCACCCACATGAAAAGTAAGTGGATGCCTCGTGATATGTTCTTGCCACCACCCTCCAGGCCAGCCAAGCCCACTGGCCAGGGCCTGGCTGGTGACGTCGGCCAGACTGTCCCCAGGTGCCTGGGGAAGTCATAGTACCTGGCCTTCCTCCCCTGCAGAGCAGGCCTCTGGTTCCTGGTGGGGCGGGGTGGGGGATGCCACCGTCAGTCCACGAGGCCGGCTCAGTTTCCTCCTACTTTGGCCAAAACACGTCTAGCTCAGCACCATGGTCAAAGGAGCTTTACACGCTGTGAACTCTGCTGAGGACCAACAAGGGGAACAAAGATGAGAGTCCAGTGAGTCTAGGACCAAAGCCTGTCAAGCCAGGTGGGGCCCAACATGTCATTCGGGTGGGGTAGCTTCTCTGTTCTCCTTTGCTTCTTGGTAAATTTATTTTCTTCAGTTAGCAGTAATCCTGCAATTGCAGATGCAGGTAATCCAGAACTACCACTGCTTGGAATCTTGTCTCTTTCAGTGTCCTTTCTGCTCAGATATTCTTTTCCCTGTTTATTTTACGATGCAAGTTCCAGAGAGCAGACCCTGTCTCACGTTCTCCATGGGCTGATAGGTCCTTAGGCGTCTGTTCTCTGTCACCGTGTTTCTGTTTGGCTTCTGTTCAGCCTCCCTTTCTCTGTAGTTGCACGTGGATGGTCTCATTGTTGCACCTTGGCTCTGAGACAGCCTTGTTATTTGAGTTTAGTCATCAGTATTCCACACGAGCCCTGTCTCAGCTGTCTCATGGTGACAATCTGTCAAAACACAGCTCTTCGGATAAGCAGACGGTGCCTGTCCCCTTCTCCTTCGGAGGGGAGGGAGCATCTGTATCTCGTAGGCCTGTTCACTATGGCGCTTGGAGGTTTAAGAATCAGCGCTTCCACCCTGGGGGCTCTGACAGTAGCCCGCTCTGTCCCTGCCAGCTCTGGCGGTGGCTCTTTCCCCCTTCTCTGCATGTCTTTCTAGACGCACAGCCTCTCCCTAAAGCCGCATGGCTTCTGTGAATTCCTTCCCACCACTGCCGCTGTGGCGTTAGGGCCTTGGAGTTAGCCCCAACCCTGTCATCCCTCAGCCACAAAGTCCAAAGAGGCAGCAGGGGTAGGGGGCACACACCCTGCTGGACGGCCCGGCCCTGCACACGCAGTTGTCCGCCGTGCCCACGGCTGTGGACGGCCACCCACAGCCTGCCCGTGCGTCTCCTCCCATGGCGGAGACTCACAGTTTTGCACCTAGGTGGACTAGAGCTAGTCCCTGGGTGGGGCATCCCTGCCCACGCCCCTGACCTGTGTCCCCCACCCTTCCTCAGCCAGAGACAGGGGTAGAAAAAACCCGCTTTCTGGCTCCTCGGAGCACCGCCAGGCCTCAGGCCCTTCCTGAGTGCCTTCCGTTCCGCTGGCATGGGACATGTGGCTGCACACGCCCTTCACCCTGTTCCTGCCACAGGACGTGTGGTGTCTGTCTTGGCGGCGCTGATTCCTGCTGCTTTAGGTTTCGAGCTGTTCCTTGCGTGTCCCTCTCGACCACTTTTGCTGCCTGTTTCCCTGCAGACGCATGTGGAGGGAGCCCGCTCTGGAGGGGAGGAAGTCAGGTTGGCACCTGGGCTGGCGGGGACAGGCTGTGAAGGGCCCAGACTCTTGGGGCAATGGCTGGCACTGCAGCAGGCCTAGTGCCTCAGGGGTTTTGGGCGCTGACGCGGAATTGCAGCCTCTGCTGCTGATGCCGGTGAAGTTAGAGCAGCGGGAAGGAAGGAGTTGTTCTAGCCCTTCTATTGGCAGTGGATTTCTAGGCGCTGTCAGCGTTATAGTCCCGGAGAGGGAGAAGAGGGACTGAGAACGTCGATTCTTGCCCAGGAGCAACCTGTGTTTCTTCCTGTCCCTTCTCCTTCCCCCCAGTAGGACAGAGACATGAGCCTGCCTGTTAGAATCTGAATGGCTTAGGAGGGACTTCCTCCCTGCTGGTCTGCAAACTTCAAAGGGACTAAATGGACCCAGGTTTTAGGGGGCCCTGAGCAGATAGCGGGGCGACCCACACCTTCTGAGGGCTTAGGAATGAGCCTCTCACACCTGCACGGCCCAGGCTGGCATTTGGCCACCTGAGCAGGTGCCTCACTGTGCCTACTTTGAGGACCTGGCACATGCTAGCGCCTGTCCAGCTGCCGGGTGTGGAAAGATGCCCCAGCGTCCCTGGCTGGCGGCCTTGAGATGAGACATGGCAGTGCTGTCAGAGGACGGGCTTGCAGCGTCCTGGGGGAAGGGTGAACACCCGGGGGCTTCAGGGAGTGTGTGCGGATTTCTCTCTCCTCTGGGACAAGAGAGATGCTCCAAGACGTGCCCCTGGGCAGGGCAGGCAGGAGATAACCAACAGATGGCGAGAGGGCAGGGGACTCGCACGATAATGTCCCAAGGAGTGGGGCAGGAGATGGACAGGGGTCCGGAGCCCCTGAGATACGGCTGCAAGGTGCGCTGCAGTAAATGCACGCCGGTATCAACCAAAAGTAAAATGTTTCATGAATAATTTTAATATTGATTACATGTTTTGACAATAATATTTTGGGTATATTATGTTAAATATAGAATTTTACCTGTCTCTTTTTACTTTTTTGATACGGCTACTATAAAATTTAAAACTACATGTATGGGGGGCTGGGCGCGGTGGCTCATACCTGTAATCCTAGCACTCTGGGAGGCCGAGGTGGGTGGATCGCTCAAGATCAGGAGTTCAAGACCAGCCTGAGCAAGAGCGAGACCCCGTCTCTACTAAAAAAAATAGAAAGAAATGATCTGGACAACTAAAAAATATATATATATATAGAAAAAATTAGCCGGGCATGGTGGCGCATGCCTGTAGTCCCAGCTACTTGGGAGGCTGAGGCAGGAGGATCGCTTGAGCCCAGGAGTTTGAGGTTGCTGTGAGCTAGGCTGATGCCACGGCACTCACTGTAACCCGGGCAAAAAAGCGAGACTCTGTCTCAAAAAAAAAAAAAAAAAAACAAAAAAAAACTACGTGTATGACTTGCATCGCATCTCTGCTGGGCAGCCCTGCTCTAGAGACAGTTTTAAGCTGCATGTTTGAGAGAAACAAGGCTCTCGAGGGAAAAGGAAGTGTTTTTGGAGGAAGAAAGCATCGTTGAGGTGGTTCTCTCACTTGCGTGTGTGGCCTTCATACTTTCCTCATCTTTATTCTAGACCACTATTATACTGCAAATTTTTTTTTTTTTTTTTTTTTTTGAGACAGAGTCTCACTGTGTTGCCCAGGCTAGAGTGCCGTGGCATCAGCCTAGCTCACAGCAACCTCAAACTCCTGGGCTCAAGCGATCCTATTGCCTCAGCCTCCCGAGTAGCTGGGACTATAGGCATGCACCAGCACACCCGGCTAATTTTTTCTATATATTTTTAGCTGCTGTCCAGTTAATTTCCTTCTATTTTTGGTAGAGACGGGGTCTCGCTCTTGCTCAGGCTGGTCTCGAACTCCTGAGCTCAAACGATCCGCCCGCCTCAGCCTCCCAGAGTGCTAGGATTACAGGCGTGAGCCACCGCACCCGGCCTGCAAATTTGTTTTAAAGTCATCTTTTCAGGGTTTGCTTACTAAAATACTCATAAGGACACCCCAAATCTTATTTTTACCTTGCTTCAAAGAGTCACAAGAAATAGCGTTTAGTTACAAAATCTTTGCAAGGAAGCCCTAAAAAGCCGGCTGGTTTGGGAGGCTGCCGTCCCCGGGCTGCGATGAGAGGTCCTTGAAGGAATCCAGTCCTCTCCTGCCCTGTCCCTTCACAGTGTTGAGTCACCCTCCTGGTCCCTCTGTGCTTGGCGGGGGACGTGCTGCCTTTGCCCCTCCATGCACTTTGCCCTCCTGGGACCTAGGCCCCCTGTCCGTGGGCTGCGGGGAGTCCCAGAAGAGGCTCCCGCGAGTCTCTGCAGAGCTGTGCGTTCCCCCTGTCATCCCTTGTATTTGTTTTTTAGAGCTCTCCAAGTCCCAGAATGACATGACTTCTGAGAAGCATCTGCTGGCCACGGGCCCCAGGCAGTGTGCAGGCCAGACGGAGAGACGGAGCCAGTCTGACACTGCTGTCAACGCCACCGCCAGGGTACCTGAGACCCCCCAGGCCTCTGTGCCAATCACCTTCGTGTGTCTTTTCAGAGCTTTCCAGCCCATGTTCTCTGTAGATTTCCTTTTCCTTTTATTTTATAGAAAAACATCAAGCGGTCAGAGAAATGTCATGATAAGGTCCTCTGTTTGGGCAGGCCTGGTTCAGGGAAGGTCAGAATTCAAGCTCAGTCTGGAAAGCCATCGCAGCAGGGAAGGCTTGGACCTAACCACCAGCCCCTGGGCTCCCTGCTGGCTTCAAGGCCACACCAAGGGCAAAGGGCGTCCTGCAGGGCTGACACTTGCTGAGCTATTCCTGGGATCTGCCAGGCCCCTCACGGAGGATTAAGAGGCCTTCCTGCTCCCATTCAAGACCAACGATCTTTGGTTAAAATCTGAGCAGGTCTCTGATTGAAACTGCTGAAAATGCAAATGCTGCACAATCGTGCTCAAGCATGACGGGGACTCTTTGCCCAGGTCTCTAAACCACAGGAGAGAGCTCGCCTGATAAAGGCTTTTAAGGGAAAGAATTACTGCAGCTTTCCACCAGATAAACCAAACCTTAAGCAAATGCACCGGGGCGTGAGAGAAAACCAACTTTAGAACCAGAAACCCTGGGTTCTAGTTGCGCTGAGGTGCCCTCCTGGCTGGCAGGCGCCACTCACTGTTTACAGGGTTGACCTGACTGCCCCGGTCAGCTGAATGGGACGGGTACCCCTGCTCTGTGGCTGTGGGCTCCGCTCGAGATGTCCCCAGACAGACTCTCTTTAGGCGAGGGTGTGAGGTCAGCCCCACTCTCCCGCTGGGACTGGCGCACACTGTCAGGATTTCACCCCAGCCCACGTGCCCCTCCGTAAAGTGAAGATGATAGTAATTAACACCTGTTGTGCCCACAGCACGGAGTGTTTATAAACATCCAATGAGATAATAGAGTATCTAATTTGCCATGTAAATATATTTTCTAAATTGCCAGCATTTGTTATTATGTGCCAGACCCTCCAAGCTTTACCTGGGCTGTCTCGTTTTATTCTCGTAACTTCCCTATCAGGTAGGTATTGCACGTAGCCCCATTTCACATTTAGGGAAACTGAAGCTCAGGGAGATAAGTCACGTGCCCAGGGTTATATAGCCAGGAAGTGGTGGCTGGGGTTCCACCCTCCCAGGCTTGGTTCGGAGCTCTGGAGGCAGTTCTCAACTTTCAAGTGTGCGGGTGGATGGGAGTCGCTTGCGCTCTGCTTAAAATGCAGGTTGCACATGGGTAGATCCAGGTCGGGGGTGGGACGCAGAGCCTCAGGTGTGTGTCTAGCGGCCCTGGGGACGAGGTGAGGTTGATGCTGCTGGTCCTCAGACCACACTTTAGGAGTGAGGCGTCTGGAGGAGCTGAAACATGTGTGGAGGGTCTTTGAAATTCTAAAGCCCAAAGGTTAGTTCACGCTGGCTTCCCGGGCTGCAGAGGCACCGTCCTAACTGCTGTCCCAGAATCAACTCCTTTTCCCTAAGTGAAACAGCGCAAGGAGAGAGTTGGTGTCCATTCATGAAGCACTATGTTCTGGGCATGGTGGCAGCATTTTTTGCAGACTTTGTCACACTCTACAGAAATCCTGAGAAAGTTGTTACTCCCATGGTTGAGAACTGAGTTTTAGTGAGAGGTTAACCAACTTGTCCAACATCACCCAGACAATAAAATCTAGAGCTGGGAGCAGAATTCAGGTCTGTATGATTCTAAATTCTCACCTTTTATATCCACATAAGAAGGACAAGTGGGGACCACTGCAGAAAACGTGTTCAGGAAGGGGGTTCTGGAAGTGTGAGTAATTCTCTTGCTCTCCTGGGTCAGGTGAGGCCACCCAGGTGATAACATTGACTAAGGGTTAGCCAGGTACTCAGCGCTGTTCTTGGTGTAAAGCCAAGGTATTCAGGTATTTCACTTTTTTAATCCTTAAAACAACCCTGTGCTGTTTGGACTATTACTGTCCCCATTAAAGATGAGGACACTGGGACAGAGAGATGAGCAAGGGCTAGGGAGAGCCAGCTCCAGAGACCACCCATGCCAGCCTGCTGAGGGAGGCATGGCACGTTTCCCATTTGTGATGAGATGTGCTGTGAGGTGGGTCCCCCACGCACCCATAGGCTCGGCTTGTGGCGTCCAGATGACATGACGCGCGTCCTCAGCACACCTCCTGCCCTGCTGCGTGCGCGCTCTGCACAGAGCCTGCCCCACACTCACCGAGGTTGTCTGGTGGACTAAGGGAGGTCGCGTAGAGGTGAGCGGTGCAGGGGGAGGCCGAGGGGAGAGCCCCACCCACACAGACACTCTGTGACGCGTGTGTCCGCTTCACTGCCGTGCTCTTGGCAGGACATGCTTGTGACTCTTTGCAGCCATTCTCCCTCCCCACCTTAATTGAGGATGTGGCCATTTTTAGGAGCAGTTTAGCCAAATGTTTATGCAGTACTCAGCAATCATGGCATGATCTATAAATGCTAAATAATTATTGGGTTGACATACAAGGAGTATATCTTTAAATAGGACGTTCGTCAGACTGCAATTACACATGCCTTAGCTGGTGAGCTCACGGAAATCACGCTCGGTTTCGTCAGAACACTTTGGGGCGTCTTGCCAAAGGTTATGCGCTACGGCGCCCCTTCTCAGAAGCAGGGATGTCGGTGCTCACCTTGCAGGTGGCTGCCCTGAGCCGCAGAGGTAGTAGGTAACTTCTTTGAATCCACGTGGTGACCAGGGATGTCACCTGGGGAAAGAGCTCGGGGTCTCTTCCACGTCACTTTCCTGACCCTTAAGTTTGAGCCACACGTTCTGAAAATGCTCCTGCAGGGACAGATGCTCACGTGCGTTCCAGCGGGGTTTTACTGTACGTCTTATGACTGGGCGCCTGGTCGGTACTGGCCATGAAAACATGCACCGGCTACAGGAGGGAGGCAGAAAACACTGTCAGGAGGGGCTGTCCCTGGGCAGGGGTCGAGGACAGAGGTGGAAGAAGATGACTTTATCGCAGTGTGTTCTCCTTTGTGTCGTGGGAAGCTCTCCCCAAGGATACCTGAAATCTAAGGAAGCAGCCCCCAGCCAGCACCCACCTTCCTGCGTCTTCTCTTTCCCCGCCTGCTGGCCGCTCCCCAGAGGCTGAGCAGGGAGGGGAGGGGGCAGCAGTTGTTTCCCACTGTTTAACCCCTTGTCCTCAGATCTAAGGGGATTTGCCATTGCTCAGAGCATGTCTCATGGCCAAGCCAAGTTACACCTGCGTCAGGCTTTACGTTGAAAGACAGCCCTGAGATGGAGTCTCAAACATGGTAGCCGTTGTTCTTCCTTCTCTTATTTCCTTATGATCTTATCTAACATCAGCAAAAATCCCAAATGCACATATTGCTTGGTTTCAGAGAATCTGTAATTTGATCGAATGAAACCTAGCATTTCTCAAGCCTCCCCATAAATGGTAAACTTAATAATTCCTTGCAGAGTAGACCTTATTCAGGGCAAATATTTTTCTCTGTAACCTGGACAAGGTAGATAGCTATTGAAGTTCATTAAAAGTCACAGCAGAAAAAAATGCCTGTGCCGACGACATCGATGAGCAGCCACTTGGATTTCGTGCCTTGAGTAGGCACCGACCCTCACGCCGTCATCCCAGCCCTTTGGAATGTGCCAGGGGAGAGTCGCACACACACAGTTTCAGGTTAGATTCCTTAGTCCATCACAATAGGTATGTCCTTCAGCATAGTGTTAACTTTTCTAGTAACTTTTACATGTTTATATTCCTATTTAAGCTTCATGAAAGATTTCCCCGAGTCCACACTGAGCAGCATGGCCTTCCCTGGCTGTGAATTCGACGTGCCTTGTAATTACTATTGCAAAGATAGTTCTCTTCCTTTTTGAAACTTTCTGCCATCAGTTCGGTTATGATCCAGAAAATATAAGTATATAATAAAAACTACATGAGTCATCTCTGGCTCCATAACAAAGTGCCATAGACTCGCTGGCTTCAACAACCGACACTTATTTTACCACCGTTCTGAAGTCTGAGGTCAGGGTGCCAGGAAGAGGAGGGTCGGCAGGGGCCGCTTCCTGACCTGTAGACAGCTGTCTCCTTGCCGTGTCCGGACATGGGCATGGGTTAGAAGCGGGCTCGCTGATGTCATTTCCCACAGGGCAGCAGTTGTGAGAGCCCCAACCTCAGGACCCCTCACCCCAATCACCTCCCAAAGGCCCCACCTCAGGATGTCGTCACACTGGGGTAAGGGCTTCAACATGGGAATCTGGGGGACGAAATTCAGTCCGTAGTAAACACATAGGAGGCGCAAGGCTTTATGTTAACGTTTGGCTCCATTTTATTCTTTCTGTCCCCGTCTGACTGCGTGTGGATTTCCTCGCACAATGCCCTGCATCTTCCTCATGCCCCACGGCCCCTCCGAGCAGGGCAGGCTTGCTGGGCGCACCCCGGGTCCCTCCCGCTGCACTGGGCGCCTCCCTCCTTCCTCTTCGCTCACCTGCCGCACCCCCGCCCCTTTCTCCTCAGCCTGCAAATAGGCCCCGATCTTCCTAACCCCAGAAAATAAAGCAACGTCTTTTGAAGGTTTCCTAGTCAAGTTCCTAGTCAAGCTGTTCCATTGCCATCTTTGTGGACGGGATTCCTGGAGGCGTGGTGTCTTCCAGCGTCCACCCTGGCTCTTCTTGCCCTCCCTGCCGGGCACTCCTGACTCCCTGTCCCCGAAAGCGCTTGTGGCCCAGCCTCTGGAACCCCCCCAGGACGCCCTGATGGACAAGCCAGGTGGCCGCCGGTCAGCCTTGCCCTCTGCCATGGCGCTGTCCCATTTCGTGTGGTGACGTCCATTGTCTTCTTTAAAAAATGATTTTATTGCTTTTCTTCATGAGACCTGTGCCTACTCACTATTGAAAATTTAGAAAGCATAGACGAGGAGGAGGAGAGAAAGTGTGTACGTGAGCCCCAGCGAGACACTGGTGTACACACAGACACTTAACAAAAGTGTCATGTTACCACGTACCATGCCATTGCGTTTGGGAAAACCTAACTTTATGCTTTAATTCGTTCTATGCCAATAAATATATTTTGTTATTTTTAACAGCTACTTTTTAGGGCTTTTAATCCCAGCTACCAAGTTGCTCTCCTCCGAGGGTGACTCTGTTTACACGTCCACGGGTGGCGCCGTCAACACCTTCCAGCACTTGCCGATGCTCCACTGCATACCTTTCCGCCCCAGTGTTTTTATCGTGGTAAAATGACGTAGAATTCGCCATCTCAGCCATTTTGAAGTGTACAGTCCAGTGGCATCACACTCGTGATGTGCAACTGTCGCCACCATCCATCTCCAGAACCGTTTTCCCCTTATAAAACTAAACTTTATACTTTTAATGTTAATATTGGCCAGTTTAACGAGTAATGTTTTAAATTTTGCATTCCTTTAATTTCAGCTCAGCTTTTCTTCATACTTTTTTCTCCTTTTGGAACACGCTTCCTTCTCGAAATCCTCCCTTTGGAGCTGCTGGCTCGCGCAGCCCTTGGTCTCCTTTGCCGCGGCTTTGGTGCAGGCCTCCCTGCCCACGTCTAGTGTCCCCTTGGCCACCCCACACGCCCCTGCGCTCCAGATCTCTCACCTGTCTCTGCGTCTTGGCCCCTCAAGTCTCTGTGGCCCTAGGAACGTGCTTCTTTCTCGGCCATCGTGACGGCTGTTCCAGTTGGGGCAGCACACCCCTCGGACGTCCCCGGCCAGCCTCCCGCACCCCTCAGGTCACAGCCCTGCTGAAGGTCACCCCGGCTGCTCCCACCTGAATAAACCCTCCCCCCCCTTTCCCCAGTGACTGGGCTGGTGCCTCTGTGTTAATGGTGTGTTTCTCTTCTACTACCTGGGGAGTCCCTGCAGAGCAGACATTGCGTCTCCTCCCTCCCCCTCCTCCTGCCCCAACCCCCAGGACTCAGAGTGGCGGATTCAGGATAGTGTTGCTTAACAAGCGCCTGTGGGAGTTGGGTGGGCGTTGTGGAGGCTGGGAGCATGAGTAATGTTAGTACTTCGAGGGTGTCGTTTCTTTCATTCACTCTCTAAGCTAGCCCTTCTGTAACGTATACTGCTTTGCTTTCTAATACCGTAGTCACTATAACGTATAACTGTATACATTATAGAAGTGTCAACTGTTAGCAAAGTATTTTTATATAGAGACATATTTTGATCTTTTTCTTTTGATGAGCATGTTAGAGCTGAAACTGCGCTTACCAGGCTGCTACTATATTTCACATGGTTAGACGCCAGGATCATTATTAAGGCTAAAATCTGGGCTTCATTAAGACTTTTACTAATCCCTAAGTAACCTACCCATCACTGTTCATGACAAAAGTGGCTGGTGTCTGCCCCTGGGCCCCACGGGGATGTGTGTGCCTTTATCCAAACAGAAGTGTGTCCTCCTGCTCAGCAGCCAGGAGTTGGCATGTCATCCAGTGGTAGGTGCGGGCTGTGCGTGCTGAAGTCCCCACGTGTGAACAAAACCAAGCTGGGAAGCAGACCATGATATTAATTTCACTTTTCCATCTCCAGAAGATCACCACAGCAGACATTCTGAAGCCTCTCAAGCGGGAAGACCCCCGATGCGCTACTCTCCCCATTGCGAAGCGAGGGCATCTCTCCGCCAGTCCCATGCCCAGCGGGTCATTCTCTGCAGGCTCGAGACACGTGAGTCTCATCCCAGCGTGCTCGGTGCGTGGAGCAGGGTTGTCACAGTGCAGGTAGATGGAGGAATGAGCTGTTGTCTGGAGATAAGCTGGAGTGTGACGATAGAGCTTGGAAGTGATGTTTTCACTTAGACCGGGAGCTGGAAAAACCCTTGCTATTCTTTGAGGGTGGTCTTTCTTTTTTACAACATCTTGTTGTGAACATTTTCATACATACAGATAGTAATAACAAAATAATGATGTCTTTTGATGTTTTTGGTGTTTTTAATTTTGATAAAGTCTAATCAAAAAAACTTTTCTTTCATGATTATTTCTGTGTCTTGTCCATCTGCGAGTCATGAAGATGCTCTCCTATGTTTTCATCTAGAAGCTTTTAAAAGTTTAGCTTTTATCTTTAGGTCTGTGCTGCAGCTAATTATTATCATTTGTGAATGGTGTAAGGTAGAGATTGAGGCTCATTTTTTTCTATATGGATATTCAGTTAATTCGGTATGATTTGTTTAAAAAAGGCTATCATTTCCCCAAGTGATTTTGGTGTCTGTGTTGAAAATCAAATGGCTGTGTGGGTGTGGGTCTTTGTCCCGGCTCTCTGTTCCATTCCACCTGTCTCTTCATCCTCATGCCAAGGCCCTGCTGTCTTGAGTACCATAGCTTTGCAGTTAAGTCCTGAAGTTGGACAGTGTAAGTCTTCTGACTTGCTTCTTCTTTTCCAAGATTGCTTTGTGATGTTTAAAATGTATTCTCTGTGTGTAGGCAGGCATTTTCATTCATTCATTTCTTTAAAAATGTCAATTGCTTACTTTCTGCCTAGAATTGTGATGCGTGGTACAGTAGCTGGAGCCCTGGATGAGGGGTCTTGGGGCCTCAGTTAATAGTTGTCTTATCTGTTTGTGCTGCAATAACCGAATGCCACGGACTGGGTACTTTATAAATAGTAGAATGTTTCTCTTGGTTCTGGAGGCAGTGAAGTCCAAGATCAAGGCACTGGCAAGATTGGTGTCTGGTAAAGGCCTGTACCTCCCAGGTGGCTGCATCTAAGGGTCCTCGCTTGGCGGGAGGGGTGGGAGGGCAAGAGGGCCAAATCTGTGCTGGGCCTCCCTCATACAGGTCTTCATTCCATTCACTAGGACTTCGTTCTCATGGCTTAATCACCTCCTAAAGGCCCCACACTGGCAATTATGTTTCAACACATAAATTTTGGAGGGGACATAAACGTTCAAACCATAGCCACAGCCATGGTTCTTTCATTTACTATATGATTTTAGACAGTCGCAAAAACTCTAGACTTCAGAGTCCTCATCAGAGAAATAGGCATCAAGGTTCTTTTTATTTTACCGGATTGCCTTGAGAATTCGGTGAGTGCATGAGTTCCGTGGTGCACTACGGTGTAAGAACCCAGCCTGTTGGGTACAGTGTGTACTGCTTGGCTAAGGGGTACACCAAAAGCCCAGACTTCACCACTACACAAATTTCCATGTAACATAACTGCACTTGTACCCCCCGAATCTATTTAAAACAACAAAAAAAAGAACCAGTCTCTAGAAGCCGACTTTTTGGTTCACATTCCAGCTCCTCCAGTGGCAAGGACTGTGATCCAGAGCCCGGCCTTTAACCGAGCCACACCTTGGGCTGGTTGTGTTTTTATGTAAAATGGTGTTTGGCGTTACAATCTGGCGCTTCTCCATCTGCGTGGGCGTCTGTGCAACGTGCACAGGTTGTGGCAGAAGCGGGCCAGACCACGCATTGAAGAAGGGCAGCCGGCACCGTGACTCAACCCTCTAGAGCCCGTCCAGCCCTTCACCAGCTTCCGCGGTGTCCCGCCTCCATCAAGGCCACTGCTCTGGCCTCGGGAGCACTGACGTCCCCTGGGAGCTTGTCAGGACGACGAATCTCAGGCCTGCCACAGACCCACGGAGTACAGAGTGTACCCGAACAAAGCCCAGGAGCTCTGCACGGTCAAGTTTGAGAAACACTAGTTGGGCCCTGGCAGTTTCAAACCTTGAGTAAAGCAAGTAACTTGTTACGGATTCTTGAGCAGTTTAGGGCTTTGCTGCCCAACGCAGGGCCGTCAGTCCCATGTGGCTCCTGAGCACTCAAAGCACGGCTAGTCTGAATCAAGATGGTCCATGCGTGTAAAGTACACCCTGGATTTTGAAGACTTTGATATGAAAAGGTGAAATATCTTATTAATAATGTTTATTTTGATACATACTGACATAGCATTTTGGATATATTGGATTATTAAAATATAATATTAAAATTAATTTCACTTCTTCTTTTTTTTTTTTTTTTTTTTGAGACAGAGTCTCGCTCTGTTGCCCGGGCTAGAGTGCCGTGGCGTCACCCTAGCTCACAGCAACCTCAAACTCCTGGGCTCAAGCGATCCTCCTGCCTCAGCCTCCCGAGTAGCTGGAACTACAGGCATGCGCCACCATGCCCGGCTAATTTTTTATATATATATTTTTAGTTGTCCAGATAATTTCTTTTTATTTTTTAGTAGAGACGGGGTCTCGCTCTTGCTCAGGCTGGTCTCGAACTCCTGACCTTGAGCGAGCCACCCGCCTCGGCCTCCCAGAGTGCTAGGATTACAGGTGTGAGCCACCACGCCTGGCCCACTTCTTTCTTTTTTATTGTGGCTACTGGAGAATTTTGAATTACGTATTTGGCTGACATTGCATTTCTGTTGGACAGCATTGGTCTGGACACCACTATTGTGCATTAAGTAGTGCCTGGATTATGAGCTCTTTTCCTGGGTTCTCTGGAAAAGTGTCCGAGATGCTCTGTGCATACACCTCGGTGAGCTTCCCTGGGAAGAAGGTTCACATTTTCATCTAGTTCCCAAACAGGCCCGTGGATCCACACGGCTCTCAAACACGAATGCCATTCACACACATCCTCTCAGGAACCCTCGCGGCTCCCTGCTGAGCGCAGCCCCTGCCCCCGTTCGCACGCAGAGCCAGGACCCCCATCTCCGACTGCCGAGGCCCCGTCTTAGTCCGTCCGGGCTGCTATAACAGAATACCATAGCCTGGGTGGCTTATAAACCACAGAAACTTGCTTCTCACGGTTCTGGAGGCCGGAAGTACAAGATCAAGGTGCTGGCAGAATCGTTGTCTGGTGAGGGCCCATTTCCTAGTCAAAGATGATGCCTTTTCTCTGTGTCCTCACAGGTAGAAGGGACAAGGGAGCTGCCTTGGGCTGCTTTTAAGAGGTCGCTAACCATACTCATGTGGCTCCACCCTCATGATCTAACAAAGGCCCCACCTCCTAATATCATTGCCTTGGAGGTGACAGTTTTGACAATGAATTTGGGGCACACACATTCAGACCCTAGCGAGCCCTGACCCTCTACTTCCTGGACGCCCTTTTTATTTGAGAAACCGAAGCCATGAGCTTTGCAGCCTGCAGTGGCCCTGCCAGGCTGTTTCAGAGAGCTTGTGCCTCAGCACGGCTTAGCACCTTCCCTCAGGAGAAGGTGGCGTTTATAGGTGAGAATACTGAGCTAATACTTCCCTGAGCGTGAGGCATGAAACGTGGCTCCAGAACCTTCTCTCCAAGGGTTCGAACCCTGGGATGGGCATGAGACAGCGCAGAGTGGCCCCTGGGAGGCTTTTCCAAGGCCTGCCTGAGGGTTTGCCCCTACCCCGGGTGATGGGAGCGCGCCATGGAATCCAGCCAGTCTGAGCCAGTGTTGGGGTGAGTCGAGGCTGACGGGCAGCTGAGGCCGCACCTTGCTTGAGAGCTGATGGGGCTGTTTTCCCTGACCTGCCCAGAGTCCCACTAGGACTCTAAGCTACCTCAGCAGCCAGAATCACGTCTTCGTAGTTTCAGAACCCGACACACAGCCACATACATGGGCTAGGATCCACCCCTGATGGCCGGGGGTCCTGTGGGACCTGCCCCCACCCTCCCCCTCGCTCACTCCACTCAACCACGTGCAGCTTGCCAGTCCTCGAGCCCCAGACACATCCTGACCCTGCTGTTTCTATATCTGTCCCTCTCTGGACATCACCCACTCGCATGCTCCCTCCCTCCAAGTCCTTGCTCCAAGCTGCCCCCGAGGGAGGTGCCCCCATCCTGTTCTCCCTTCCCTGCTCTGTGTTTATCCGTGTTCTCATCACCTTCCTGATGCTTGGAATTGGCTTATCTGTTGGGTGTTTTCTATCCCCCTCCCCACTAGACTGTGTGCTTCCCAAGTGCCTTGAGCTGTGCCTGACAGTTAAATGGCCTTGAGATGTTCGTTCAGTGATTGGATTGATCCTAATCGGAGCTGTGGTTTACTGGAAGCCTGTGGTGGGCGCTTCGCATCTCAGTCATTGTCACCGCGATCTTTTATGGAGGATGCTGTTATCCCGTCTCACAAATGAGGAGCCTGAGATTAAGTGACTTGCCAAGGTCCTGGGGACTAGAGAACTCTGATCCAACCCAGGGGCCCTGGGAGCCAATACCCAGGCTTTTTGTACTATCCTGCAGGGTTGGTTGAACTCTTAAATTGAGCAGTTTTCCTGCCCTACGCCACCTGGTCCAGCGTCACTCACTTGGGGCCCATGCACACCTAGTGACCCTTGAGGAGTTGGGGGCCGGGACTGGGTCAGGGGGAGGCGGGAGGAGTGAGTCTGTCTTAGTTTCTTTGCTTCTTAGGATGGTTCCTCTAAGCCACAGTGCAGAGGCAGCAGGGCTTTCTGTTCGCATCCATTTTTCTACAGTTTTCTCTGATTTGTGCCCTTAAAATCTATGGTCATGAGATCGAATCATTATGCATTTAATTGTAACCTGTTCCCTTTAGACCAAAGCAGTGTGTGCTTGAGGAAATTAAACTCCCACCAAACAAATAACTGATTATTGCTTCTTGCCCAAAGATACTGCCTACCCTTCAGAGGGATATTTACATTCTCTGAGAAACGAGGAACTGGAGCTAGAAAAACGTTATTAAATGTCCACTTTTTACGAAAGTATTAATACAAACAGATAATAAATAGAATCGCTCAACCTCCCAAGTAT